AGATCTATGAAGGAATTCTGATGTTAAAACCTTCTGATTGTTCGCTTTTAAAACCTTTTCGTGGTGCCTCAACCGATGAACAATCTCGTCGTGTAGAACATTGAAACACATTGCAGTGAGTGCTAGGCCAGTCATGATATAAATTGAGCAAAACCACACGGTACCTGATGATGCACCGTTCTTCTGTGTCGCACCAGGCGCTAAGTGTCCAAAACCAATCGTGCTGAGACTCATAAAGCAAAAATAAACTCCATCGATAGGACTCCATCCTTCTAACTGATAAAGAACCAGAGCTCCAAAGAAGATGTAAGTAAAAATCGCCGCTAAACATAACGCAATAGGAGCTAAGATTGAGAATCCTCGTAAGGATACTTTGGAGTCTGTATCGGTGCAACTCATGGAGTCACAATCTCTTAGAAAGCTTAGTCCTTGAGTCTTGTCTTTGATTGAGTTTGTACTGACGCTGTGTGCTTGTGACGCGGATATAATGGTCCCTGACGGAGACCTGACGTAATAAGGTTCCTGTAGATGCAAGGTCTGATGTCTGAAATCATCTTGTCTTCTAACTTTTTCCTTTCTTTCTTTGCTAGTCATTGTCCTCTCGTCGAGGCAACAGTAGCCGCATTTTGTGCAAAGACAGCAACATAGTGCTCTGCTGAAGACGCTCCTAGCTAGTCGTGATAGCAATGCTCCTACCACAGACAGGTATAAAAGTGTTAGAGGTATACCTATAACTGCATACCCTATGGTGACCGCTTTTCCTAGTGCTGTCCTAGGTGCAACGCTCCCGTAACCTGTGAACAAAAATATACTTAGATTTTTTCATTACAGACTACAGATAACGCTAATGGTAGTAGTAGTAATATATTGAAGCAATTCATCAGTTGATTTCCTTTTTATTTTTACAGAAAACTTGTGACGTGTAAAAAAAACATAAAATAACATAATAAACGCCTTTTATCTCGTAAGGGAGAGGCAGAGGTGACTTTGCGGCACTTAATTCTACTATACAACGTAACACCCACTTTTTACTATTTAGAGGTATATTATGAGTTCTATGTAAAAGAGAGTGAGCCTATTGCCATATACCGGATAGAATTCCAAACTTCGTGCCACTAATAGGCGTTTTTTTTTTAAATCTAGTAATACTTTACCTGACCTGGGAATCGAACCCGAGACACCTTGCCCGGCAGTCGTCTGGCAACCACTCGGCCAATGAAGCAGTCAGAAAAAATAAGTAACGAGTTTTTTGTAACCTACATTAATGTTTACTCATTCTGTTTAAGCAAATATTGAACTAACTGTATTTATCCTAATAGAGTAAAGCTAATAGGAATATTTACCAATAACTTGTTACTTTATATTTACTAAAAGAAATAAAAGATCAACAACAAATGCCTTACCGATAGTAGTGAGAACAGTCAGAGAATACAGGAATGCTTTCGCAAAGTTCCACTCGTAGTCATCAACGACCAACGCAGGAGCTGACTCCAAGGCCCTTGCACCACCATATTGTGCGGAAACATCAGCGGCTACCCTTGCCACCAACTTCTCTTGGAACCTGGCAATCTCCTGAGCTGCCAACCTTGTCCAGTTCTCCTTATACAAAATGTTCAAAGACACTGTGATCTCCCAAA